TATTTGAATTTACAGAAATTAAGTTAAAATTATAGGAATTTATTTGAAAACAATAGAATTTCCATGTATTATTGGAATTACCAGAATTTTTTTGGAATTATAACTAATTTGGAATAAATCATAAAATAAATTGGAATATCAGGAATTGAATTAGAATTACAGGAATTAATCTGAAAACAATAGAATTACTATGGATTTTTGGAAATACTGGATTTTTTTAGATTGCCACTAGAATTTAGTTGGATTTTGTTTGAAATTGAACTTATTTTTTTCAACTTAACAGCCATTTAGAAATAAAAAATTATTTTTTTACGCCCTCTTTTTTGAAGTTTTTGCAAACTAAAGTCCGGATTTTGGTGCTCAATGACACCCGGTGACGATTTATTGTGTGTTATTTGCGAAAATGTGTTTTTTTCCTGTACTTCAGTAGCCCCGAGGTCACTAGTTGTGATTTATGGTCTTTGGGCAGCGTTGAGAATTCTGATTCGGTCAAAATTGGGAACATTGATTAACTTTTGAGTGCATTGCGTTGGGACCCTAATTAAGGATGTTGGGTTTTGTGGGAATTGGGAGTCCATTAGACCTAATGCTCTTAAATTTGTGTAGAAAAATTTGTTTTGAGTTTATCCAGAAGCAATCTGGGTTGAAATTCAATGAAATAATTTATTGAAATAAATGCAACTGCATCAGAAATAGAAAACTGTTATGTTATTCCACTCGCTTTGACTTATTTATTTTGCATAAGTAGAGGCAACATCTCTTTCGAGTTTTGTTGATTAAGTTCTCTTAGTTAAGGAATTAATTCCATTAAAATAATTCCGTGTATTTTTTTGCTAAAAGTGATATTTTTGCGTGCAACACATTCAGCAAATTCTTCACAAACTTAATTTATTTGCGCTCTCTCAATGCACTTTGAAGTCGAGCTATCAGAAAATTTCATCGATTTGGTCACCACGAAATGAAAAAACGCATTACTTAGTTTAGAGCTTTGATGTTAAAAGTATTAAACGTGTATTTGTGGTAGCAATGTCGGCTTGTCACAGGGGACAAAAGGCAGTGTTTTTCCAAAAAAATGTGTTTTAAATTTCCTCTGAAAATTTAAAACATAATTTACAAGAAAAAAATTAAATTGTAACATAGAGGAAATAATATTTCATCTATAACATGATGTCTATGCAACCAACATTACACAACATACAGAGTTCTTTGCAGTTTTGCCAACTTGACGAACTATTTTGCTTTATTTTACGGACTGTTTCATTCTTTTTAGGAACGCGTAAAGAAAATAAAACAATTAATTTTTTAGATAATTAAAATGCGATTTATTTAAAATAGAATAAAACCATAAAAAGACACATTTTATAATTATGTTTGTACTAAGTATTCATTATAAAAGAACAAAAAATACTTAAAAAAATTTCAAATCAATTAATGTTTAATAAAAAAATTTAAAACATTTTTGCAAACTTAAAAAATTCAAAAATTAAAATTTTGTGAAAACGTTTCTATTCCTTTTTCAGACAACGTAACATGTTCTCAACTCTTACCTTTTTGGTTAAAAAAATGTTTTTTTTTAATCTTTTTAAAATGGACAAAATTTTACCAATTTTTTTCCTACCCCTTTGGTTTACTAGTCACACAACTTTTTTATATTGCTGATACCAGCAACCAGTTATACTTTTTATACATTTACGCCCTCCACCGTTTTTTAACGTAAATGAAGCTAGAAATCTGTATTGTTGGTCAAAATTTATTTATAATTATAATCCTATCATAACTGCTTTGATAATATTAATTACTATTGAAAAAAACAACAGTTTATTAACTGCTTAATTTCTATTTATTGCAGGCACGAAAGATAAATATCACAATTTTGTTTTGTACGCTTTGAATTGAGTAAAAAATTACACTTTCGGCACTTTTTTTATGTAAAAATTTCAGGTTTGCAACCTTCAGACCCTTCGTTCGAAACCATAACTTTAACTTTCAAATTATTGGCACAATTATTAAATCTTTTTACATATTTATCGTCAAAACTCGGATTACCACAATTTGCACCATACAAATGAATGGCAAATCTGTCTTTGCAGTCGAAATCTCCATCGCAATTACAGTCCTAGAGAAATAAAAAAATAAGAAAATCTCTTAAAAATTATTTCACCATGTGTCCTATTGCGTCTACGTATCGGTCAAGTGTTGCCAAAATGCAATTTTCGTTTTTCATGCATTTGTCAAAACTTGATTTCTCTTCAGGGGCGTCTGTGGGGTCAACAGTTGGACTATTTGCGGTTTTCCAGTAGTCAAAATCGATGGAATAATTCGCGCAATTGAAAAGACTATAACACCCTGTTCTTGCATGGCAAAGACAGTTGAGACAGTTTTGGATGTCTGTCCCCATGTAATTTTTGATTCCTGAAAAAAATTACTTCTACCAATTCATGCAAAATCAAAGTACGAGTACCCTCACTATGTTGTGCGAAGTAAAAAAGAACACAAAAAATAAAGAAAGTTTTCATTGTGATACGATGCAAATCACAAGTGAAGAAATTCGCTACAGTCGCACTGAGATAAGAATTAAGTTCAACAAAACGGTCATCTTGTGATTTATCATTAAAAAAAGTGTTTTATTAGATCCAAAAACTTTTTGTCATAAACAACATTTTTTGTTAAAATTTTCAAAAACTCATTGAAACTCCTTATTATGCTCGAAAATGGTGGTAAAAATAAAAAACAGCGCTAGAGTTATGTTAGAGTTCAAAGGGAACGTAAATAATTAGTTATCACTGCTATCAGTAAAAGTACATAAAATTTGTAAATTGAAGTAATTTATTAGAAGACATAACATTGTAAAACCGAATCTCTGTCTGTTCGAATAAAATTTTGCTTTTAAAAAATCGTTATAATTTCCAAGTTATGAGGGAGTTAAAGTCCGTAATTTTGGAGCATATTTAAAGAACACTTTTTGTAAGTTTATTTCAAAAAAATACATGTCAATAAATCAAAAAACTGGGGGTTCACAACCGACAAAACCCTCCTCTTCGAGCATAGTAGCAACTCCCAAATTTTTGGCACAATTGTTGAACCTTCTAACATATGCTTTGGTAAATTTCGGATTAGTACATTGTGCTCCGTATAAATGAATGGCAAATCTATCTTTACAGTCAAATTTTTGGTCGCAATTACAATCCTGCAAAAATAACAAACTAAAAACTCCCAATAATTTTTTTTCCGTTCTACAATGTGTCCAATATTTTCGGCGTATTTGTCAAGTGTGGCCAAAATACAGTTTTCGTTTTTGATACATTTGGCGAAGATTTTTTGATCGTCTAATTCTTCATCGTCTTCTTCATCAACATTGGGACTTCCTGCTGTTTTCCAATAATCAAAATCAATTGAATAACTCGCACAGTTGAAACGGCTGAAACACCCAGTTCGGGCATGACAAAGACAATTGAGGCATTTTTGGATTTCAGTGCCCATGTAATTGTCAATTCCTGAAAAAAACGGTAAATACAAAGAAAAAATGTTTTATTCAAACCATGAGAATAATTCAACAAGAAAACAACAACAAACAAAATTAAAAGTCTTTTCATGTTGTCCACGTCAGACAAGACAACAAATATATCAGAATCTGTTGTCTGAAATAACATGTTATCAGTTGGGAAAACTCAACACCAAAAAGTCAAAGTTTAAAAAAAAACAATAATTATCAACAAATGATTTATTTTGACGCAAATCGCGCGCATTATTGCGGAGATAACTATAATTTTCCTTCAACAACTTATTGTTTACACAGATTTTGGCTCGGATCCAATAACCGAAATTAAAGCTGGATCAGTTTTAATGCATAAAATAATAAATATCTACTAGTTGAATATAACCAAGTTTATTTAAAAACTCGTTTTATGTTTTTTGACACAAATCTGAGAAAATCGAAATCAAAAAATCGACTTTTACATCATTTTCGTTTAAAGAAATTAGGACAGTTTTTTAAAATTATCTTTATTTTACATTTTCTTATTATTTCTGACTGTAGATTAACAAGTTTATTTTTCAGAAATTGTAACAAATTGTGAGAAAACTGTTAATTAAAACAAATCTTGAGAAAATACACTGAATTCTTCGATTTATTTATCTGTTTGTAAAAGTGCTTCAATATCTTTCAGTTTCTGAACTGCTTGTTTACATATTTTTCCTTCGGGAAGAACTTCAGGTTCGTTTTTGAGTAATTCTACCACTTCTAGAAGTATATTTTTTGATTCCTGAAAAAAAACATACACATGGTGTGTCAGAACCTGTGCTCCAGAAAAAAAATTCAAGGAAGATAAGATACTAGGTGTAAAGTCTGTTTTTCCTTTAAATAGAAATTACCAACTAAAATTTTGGTGAAAAAATTGATAGCATCTTGTCTCCATTTGCTTGTTCCTTTTTAGTGTCTCGTCTCTAAATTTTTTTGACGATTTTTTGTTTTGACGTTTAATGACATTGTTTTCAAACTAATTCAAAAAACCGGAACTGCCAGCTTCTTTTATTAAAATTACCATGAATGAATTTACTAGTTTTGCCAACGTTTAGACTGTTTGGCATTTCTATTTAAAAAAAAACAGACTTTATATGTTTTTTTTATAATTATTTAGTAAAGGTATAAAAATTTTGCCAATAAAAGCCACAAATAACATTAAAAAGAGTTACAATTTAGGATACACCTTTCTTGTTTCCTCTTCTAATAGCCTGTAGTAAAAAAACTTGGAAAATTATTTTTCCAACAGAAATAAATAGAGTCAAAATGCGAAATTTAAATTCTCATTATAGATAGAATTTTTTATTTATTTGTTTTTTTTATTTTTCTTATAGAACATTTTTTCTATGTTCCTGGTGTCTTACCTTCTCTAGGGTGCGAGTTTTAAGCACCCCTGTAGATTTGAATAGTCAAAAAATAACTTACTTCCAAGTCGGTGATTTTTTGTAGTCCTGCTCTTCTTGCAATTTCAGTAACTGCAACGTGTTTTTCAAACAAAATTAACCCTAAAGCTCTCTTCTCAGCTGGAGCAATGATTTTCAGGAGTTTCTCTAAACTGGTGCAGTGTTGCAATTTCAAGGATAAATCCTCATCGGAAGTTAATTGTAATAACCTCTGCCCTATTAACTGACACAGAGTGTACCTCACCTCAGTGCAGTAATAGTGATTTTCGTGTAAAAACTCTTGATGAGTCTTTAAAAAATCTTTGCAATCTTCTATACTACTCTTATCCAAGTCATAAAGATCGCGTCCAATTCTTTCAAGAGTGTCATGAACCGAGTAAAACGACATCGTTTTACCACATTTACCACAAACCCAGTCTGGCAAATTCTGCAAATCGGTAAAGGTGACCGGAAGGAGATACCCCTCACAGGACCTGAAACCCCATTAGAACAAATTTTTTCAGCACTACGACTTTTTTACTACTTTGAACATTTGATGGCACTGAAATTAGTACCAAACTCGGTGGGGTCCTCACATCTGTCACAATGACACCAGAAAAACTTCGTTTCATGGAGGAAGTACCGCCGACTTGGGGTACCCCATAAGGGGTCACTGTAACAAATACTCAAGTGGTCACCAGCTTGAATGTTTTTGGCAGCTGAAATGAGGATGTGGCCTTGACTTGTGAAACTTTTACTACAATTAGGGCCACAATTGTGTTCCAGCATCGAAGCACTGGAGTATATAGCGACGTGGAAGGGCTCGGTTAGGGGTACTTCGTGGCCATTGACCTGAAAAAATCTGGTACTTTTGGCCCTTTTCCCAAAACGGTGACTCTACCACAGTACTACCATGAACTTTCATGATCTCTTCTTCGCTGAAGATGGACGCTAACTTGAAGAAACGTCGGATAAACTCGGCGATGGTGACTCGATCGCTCTCGTAACTGGCCGTTGATTTGTGCTCCTCCCAATGGTGTTCTAAAGTTTCCAATTTTTTCCAAACTTTTGGTAGAAATTGCTTCTGGTACAAACACCTCAGAACTGTGATGCACTTGTAGATGGGATGGGGTACTCCGAAGACTTTCACTGCGATTTTTTCACCCCTTTGACTCGTATATCGGCATTCGGGGATGTGCGAGGGTGATTTTTCGCAAAGATCGCCACAAACGGGCCATCCACATCTCTGGCAGGGTTTACTACACGTTTCATCGATGGCTTTCCCGCACCCCAAACAAATAGGAATCGAGTTGAATGAAGGCCCCCAGATCAGGGGGGCTTCTTGGATGATGATTTCCCCCGGTTTGATGGCTCGGGTTGCGACCAAGTGGCGTCCCAACACCGCATCTTCACTTATCTAGAAGAGGAAATCAAAATCGGAGAATGAAAATACGCTCACCTTGAACGGTTTGCAAACACTTTTGTGTTGCTTCCAATGCTCTCTCTGGTGTTTTTTATCGCAATAGTAGACCTTGTGGCATCCTCCGCACTTGTGCAGGGCCGGCTTTTCGCACACTTCGCATCGGTTTGGGAGAATTTCGTCACTTTTTGCATCCATTGCCGAATTTTTGAATGTTATCCAAATTGATAATAATAAAAAATAGACGCAACACACTAGCCCACGCTTTACAATTGAAACAGAACTGCAATACAAGCGACTTAGCGCGGCTATTAATAAACCACTACTAACCCGAATAGATTTAAATAGAAAAAGGAAGTGTGACAATGTTGGAAGATCGCACTTTTAAGGTGTGAAATGACTGTTGACTACAGTGACTGAGTATGAATCATGCTTGATTTAATGACATAAACATAAACAAGTTGCTAAATTGCATTTTAGGTTGAATTTCGTCAATTTAAAGACTCCCGAGGATTCAAAATCCTGATAATTAAATCAACATTACAGCCAGATTTTGAAAAATTTTAACGGTTTTATAACTGTCCGGAATTTTTTGATTTTCTCCACACCAATCGACTTCCCAAAACATTTTACATAAACATGCTATTGAAAATCTTAGGTTTTGGGCGCTAGTTTAGTCAAAAATGACATAAATATAAACAAGTTGAGCAAAAATTGAATGACGAAAACCCAGAGTCGCTTCTGAATCAATTGCTCTAAAACTGTTCATTGAAGGGCAAATTTAGATTCTCCAGGCAATTTTAGATAGAATTTCGTTGATTTGAGGACTGCAAAGAACTCAAATTCGAAAAATTGGCTCAAATCACATCCAGATTTTTTAAAATTTTAATGGTTTTATAATTATTCGGAATTTTTCAATTTTCTCTACACCAATCGACTTCCCAGAACATTTTACATAAACATAGTATTGAAAATGTTAGGTTTTGGGCGCTAGTTTAGTCAAAAATGACATAAATCTAAACAAGTTGAGCAAAAATTGCATGACGAAGACTCGGAGTCGCTTCTGAATCAACTGCTCTAAAACTGTTCATTGAAGAGCAAAAATATAAACTGTTTCAGATTCCCTGGACAACTTTAGATAGTATTTCGTTAGTTTGAGGACTCCAAAGTACTCAAATCCGAAACAATGGCTCAATATCACAACCAGATTTTTAAAAACTTTAATGGTTTTATAACTTCTAAACCACTCGAAATTTTTTAGTGTTTTTAACACCAATCGATATCCCAGAACATTTTACATAAGGAAAGTGTTAAAAGTCTTAGGTTTTGGACGCTAATTTTGTCAAAATTTACATAAAAAATTGAGGATGAAAACCCGGAGTCATTTCTGAATTAATTATTGTAAAACTGTCTATAGTCAAGCAAAAATTTTAAAAAATCGAATTTTTGAGATAATTTTAGGTAGGATTTCGTCGATTTGAGAACTCCAGAGTACTCAAAATCCGAATAATTAAATCTACACCACAATTAGATTTATTAAAATTTTAATGATTTTTTTGTTTTTTTGACACTAGTCGACATCTCAGAACATTTTACATAAAGTAAAGTGTTAAAAGTCTGTTACTGGATGCTAGTTTCGTTAAAATTGACAAGTTAAGAAAAATTACAGATGATTGACGAAAATCGCTTTCCAATCAAATACTCTAAAACTGTCCATCGTAGAGCAAAAATAAATACAAAATTGGATTTTTCAGACAATTTTAGGTAGCATTTCGTCGATTTTAGGCCTCCAAAATATTAAACATCTGGAAAATTGACTTAATATCAGCCAGATTTTTCAAAATTTTAACTATTTTAATGATTGAGAACTTCTAATCGGCCTGGAATTTTTTTGCTTTTCTCGACACCAATCGACTTCCTAGAACATTTTACATAAGTATAGTGTCGAAAGTTTTGAGTTTTGGACACTAGTTTTGCCGAAATTAACAACAGATGAACATTTAAAATTCTACAAGATTTTTCAGCTAGGAAATTAATTGAAGAAAATTGGTTTTACAGATTATTACGCTGATGACGCAAATGTCCGAGTTTTAACAATAACTGAATTTTGCAGTATTTGCAGGTTAAAAATTGAAGAAAATCTAAAAATTTAAACTCATTTTTACAGAAATCACCAAAATCTAGGTTTATTTTTCATCAAATAGCCGTAACTAAATTTAATTTAAAAACTAGTTCAATTTAAACTTCCAATTTTGTTAATGTTTTTATGATTTTGTCAATTCCCTTTTATAAAAAATAATTGAAAAAATGTATTCTCTAATAATAATAATAATTATGTTTATGTTATAAAACGTTTTCATCAAAATCAAAATATTTTTAATTTATCTGAAAATGTCAACAACAAGAAAATACTAATAAAAAAAATTAAGGTTTAACAGTTTCTTAAGTCTTTTTAAAAAGGTCTCAGTAGAATAATATAAAAATTTAAAAAATATATTAAAAACATGAAAACAAGAAAAAGTTTGATCAGAATTGTTTTTTTTTTTTCAAATTTTTTTAATAAATTTAATTTTTGTTAAAATTTTTTCCACAAACATCTGTTTCTTTAATAATTATAAAAAAAATCACAAAAGACATATTTTTATACTTCATTTTTAGCGATTATTACTAAATTTATTTTAAAATTTGTTGTTTTATTTTTACTTAACGTAAATTGTTAAAGTACCGAAATCAACAAGTTGTATAATTCCAAAACCCAATTTTACCAATTTATTTCTGATTTTGATCAATTTCGTTCAATGAGTCTAATTCAAGTTTAATTAATATTAAATTAGTGAATACAATTAAGTTAATTCACAGTGTTACATTAAGAAAAGCTCCGTTTGCCAACCATAAATAAACAAAGTTTCTAATAAAATCCTTAAACAAATAAATAAATTGTCATAAACTTGTCTGACAGATTAATATCCTGTTTGAAAAGGATTTTAATTGCTCACTTACTATAAAGTTTTAGAAAAAAAAGTTGAATATTTTGAACAGAAATTAAAAGAATTGTTTTTTTTTAATGTTCTGCTTTGTTCACGTGTCTGGATGTGTTATTTAAAGATTTGCCATAAACTTGGGCCCCAACCTTGATCTCCCAACAACCAATTCAAAAATTTCAAACTCCATCTGATCACAATTTACGAGTGTTGCTTTTGTTTACTTTTCAAACACTGTAAACGTAAAACTGAACAGTTTGTTGTATTTTCATAACAAGTGGATTATTTCTTAATTCTTATCCATGGATCGCGTAAACAATTTCCGCTTTTATTGTCATTCGTTTGGCAACACTATCCAGAAATAAAGAAGACTTAGTTAAAAATAACTTTAGCAGCGTCCACAATAATTCCTCCCACAAGAGACTAGTCGAGTTAGATGAGTTGACTTAAATAAACGGTTAGTCCGTTACAACTCAAAATTTTGGTGACTGAAAGTTTTTTATAAAAATATGAGTCGACACTCCAGACGAAAGGTAGGCCCAGTTTTGAATTAATTTCAAAACTTGATTATTTTTTTATTAGAGAGAAAAAGCCACAAGACGCTCGCAGTCACAATCGACAACATCATCTGAAAATTTTGACGAGATCTTCGATGTCACTGATGATGGTCCGATTTTTGAGGTCAAAACGTCCAAAGTCATGGGCAGGTAACAGACGGTCGTAAAAGTAATGTTTATTGAACGACTTTCGCGCTTTATGCTCGACCTTTCGACATTGAAATTACGTTTTGTAATAAATTGGAATTTTTTTCATTGTTTGAACAAATGGGCAAAATGACAACAGTTGGCACATTTTTAAACAAGAGTCTAAATTTAAATATTGCATAGGATTCAAAATATTGAGAGTTTCATTTTATTACTCCTGTTAGTGATCTAAATTATTTGTTTTTGCTTTTTCATAATATCAAAATTTTAGAAAATTGTAAATAAAATAAATACACTTTGGAAAGCCGTAAAAATGAAGGTTTAGTCACGGAACTGACATCAAGTGAAAAAATGTTTCAAACCCGTTATTTTTTTTAGAATAATTTTAATAATTTCTTTGTAATCATCTGATTGATAAAACCTTTTTTCCAAATTTTGGTATTTGATTGAATTTGATTTTTTTTTCTATATCGAACAGCAAAAACTAGAAATCAGTTAAACATTCGTTTTTAAAAATTAAAAAATCCAACACCTGAGGATTATTTTTTATTTTTTTTAATGATTTTCTTTCAGATTTTATATTTTGATTTTTTTGATTTTTTTATCAATTTTCACCGAAACTGACAAGTAAAAAAACAAGCCAAAAATGTTTCAAACTTGTTATCTTACAGTTTGCAAATATGCGTATTTTTTATCATATAATTTTGATAACCTTTGTTTTTAATTTGATAAAAATTTAATTTTTTTCCAAAATTTTAAACACAACAGTATTTTTTTGATATCTAATATCAAAAACTAGAAATCAGTTTAGAATTCATTTTTAAAAATTAAAAAAAATCCAACGTCTGAGGACTATTTAGTTGTTATTTTTTTGTTTTTATGAGATTATAAATTTTGGATATTTCCAATTTTTTCATCAATTTTGTCGTAAAACAAAAACATGAGTGTAGTTTAAAATGCTTCAAACCTGTTATGTTACAGATTTTTAACCGCCGTTTGCAAATATGCCTATTTTGGGTACTTTTTTATTTCAAATTTTATCAAAATTTCCATGTCGAATAACAAAAACTAGGAACCAGTTTAGTATTTGTTTTTAAGAATTAAAAAGTTGTGGTTTTTCAATTTTTTTAATGATTTTTATAAGATTATAATAAGACTGATTTTTCCAATTTTTTCATCAATTTTTCAGTTTTTTTTATCACCAGTCGACTTACCAAAACCTGAGTATAGTTCAAAATGTTTCCAAACGGAAAACATTAAAGTTTAATGAAATTTTAATTTTTCTGATCTTTTAATTTTGGTCGATGTTTTACCGGACTTGACATCAAGTCAAAAAAATTAGTCAAAAATGTTTCACAAACTCGTTATTTTTTTAAGATAATTTTAATAATTTCTTCGTAATTATCTGAAATTTGATAAACATTTTAACGCATTTTAACAAATATTTTTAACGCAAATTGCATTTGATTTTTTTTCTATATCGAATACCAAAATCTAGAAATCACTTTAATATTCGTTTTTAAAAATATAAAATCCAACACCTGAGGACTATTTTTTAATTTTTTTATTGATTTTTATGAGATTTGAAATTTTAGATTTTTCCGATCTTTTTATCAATTTTCTCACTAATCGACTCACCAAAACTTGAGTGTCGTTCAAAACGTTTCCATTTTCGCCTGTCTTTCACCGGAATTGACCAAATTAAAAAATAAGTCAAAAATGTTTCAAACCAATTTGTTTATGTAGATTTTTAACTGCCGTTTGGAAATATGCTTAATTTTTTAGGTTAATTTTAATAATGTCTTTATTTATTTTATATCGTATAGCAAAAACTCGAAATCAGTTTAGTATTCGTTTTTAAAAATTATTTTTGTTATTATTTATTTTTTAAAGTTTTTAAAGGTTTTAAAACTTTGATTTTTCGATTTTTTCATGAATATTCCAATTTTGTCGTCACCATGACTTACCAAAATATGAGTATAGTTCAAAATGTTTCCATTTTGGGCGATGTTTCACCAAGTGAAAAAAAAATGAGCCAAAAATGCATTATGAAATATTTAGTTCAAATCTTTGCTAGGTATCTTTTTTTTTCTTTGTAATTATCGTTATAAATACAATCAAACTTAAAAAGTGTGATAAATAAAAATCGTTTTTTTTATTTTTCTGTAGTTAGTCTAACTCAAACACAATTTTTTGTTGTTTCTTCTGTAATAAACTACATTTTGGATACTTTGTATTTTTTACAAAATAAAACCATGTCGCTGTAAACACACGAAACTGGACTTCCTTTAATCTAAAGTGTAGACAAAACATCAGAAACCCACATTCGCAAAAATTACGGAAATTGAGTTGTCAACAAACAAATTAGTTCTGGAAAACTGTTTCTACAATCCACTGCGTCATCACCTGATTTCACAATTACACTAAGAAACACATGTTTACTCCCTGAAAATTTATATTCTAAACTGTATCTTTTACCCAAATTTATTTCATAGTTTATTTAATAATTAATCTACTTTCCCAGATACATGGTTTCAAGGAAAAACCTAAAACCCGGAGATATCATCCTGAGCGAGGCTCCACTCGTCATTGGCCCCTGCACCGGATGCAAAGTGCAATGTTTGGGGTGCTACAAACCCCTAGAATCAACTCCTAGCATCAGGTAATTCCCCATTTCAATTAAAAGAAAAATACAAAAAAAAAAATTCAAGGTGTAAATGTGGTTGGCCTCTATGTTCGTCCAAATGCAGGGGTTTAGGCAAGAGATTTGGCCACACTCAAATCGAATGTGAGGTTCTCAAAGCTACGAAATCGTCCAACTTTTTAGATTACAAAAATTTCGAAAAAATGCGCCCCAATTTCAACGCCATAGTACCCCTGAGGTGTCTCTTACTCAAAGAAACGGACTCTTGGAGTTACCAACATTTAATGACAATGGAAACCCACAATGAAATCAGAAGAAACATTCCCGAGCTGTGGCAAACAAACCAAAGCACTGTTGTCGACAGGATTCGAAGGGATTGGGGCTTGAAGGAGTACTCCCAGGAGGAAATCCACAGCATTTGTGGCATTTTGGAGGTCAACTCGTTCGAAATCGGGCAACAAGGAGTCAACATTCGAGGATTGTACCCTTCTGCGTTCCTAATGTCACACGATTGTGTCCCTAACACGAACCATATCGACGAAGAGGGTACTTTTAGGTTGACAGTTAGGGCCTCCACAAGAATAGAACCCGGCGAAATGATCACTTTGAGTTACGCCTACACTTTGCAAAGTACCCTAAAAAGGAGGGAACACCTTTTGGAGAATAAATTCTTCGAGTGTCAATGTCGACGATGTAGTGACCCCACGGAACTTGGTACTTTTACCAGTGCCCTAATTTGTCCCAAATGCAAGGACGGGTTTGTCCTCTCCTCCAACCCCCTGGACTCGGAAGCTGACTGGACTTGTGTCAATAAAAAATGTCCAGGTTATAAAATCACCTCGAAATCGATGCAACTCCTCCTTGAGAAAATCACACAAGAAGTTGACAACATTGACTGCAATGATGTCATCGCAATGGAGACGTTCCTGAAGAAGTACCGGAACGTACTCCACCCCACTCACTACATCAATCTTAGTGTGAAGCTCTCCCTTAGTCAACTCTACGGCCGAAGCAACGGTTTTCTCATCGATGAGCTCAGTGACGAGGTTTTGATCCGAAAACAGGAGATTTGTGAAGAAATTATCAAGATTTTTAATGTTATAGAACCGGGTTTTACGCGATTACGTGGAGTTACTCTGTATGAGATGCATGCCCCTTTGATGGTACTACTGACGAGGCAGTTTGAACGTCATTGTACTAAGAGCGAGTTGAGGAGTAAATTGAAGAAAGTTTTGAAATGTTTGAATGAGGCTAGTGTGATTTTGAGTTACGAACCGGAAAGTTCGCCTGAGGGAATGATGGGAGTGGCGGCGAAGGATGCGTTGATTAGGATTAGGGATTGGGAGAAAATTTTGGGGAGGTTCTAGTTGAAATAAACTTTTTTCATAACATTGTTTTTTTATTGAAAAGCAGATTGAGGACAGGCCGAAAGTGATTAGTTAGGCTGTTTGCCAACTCATTTCTCAATGTTTCACACATAGTTAAAATTAGTTTCAAAAAACAAATAAAATGCAGTAAATAATAAAAAAAAAACAGAAATTGAGGATAAAAAAGAAACTAAAGAACAAATTGTTTTATTTATTTTTAGTACTACATAGAAAGTTTTAACATGAAAACAACTGTTTTTTCTTTAGCTCTAGTTTGACAATGGAAATTTTTTATTTTTTGTACATTTAGCTATTTTTGATTATAATAAAAAGCGCATATGCACCTAAAAAATTCAAAGTAAAAACCAAAATTTAGAAAATATTTAGGTCCAAAATATAAAATATTTATACAGTAAATATAAAAAATACAAAACGAACCAAAGACACTTTTGTGTAAAATGCTCGTTGCTAAAACATGTTTAAAACAGAAGCAAAATAATTCATCCTAAAAATTTCAATGCTAAAAATGAGTAACAAAAATTCACCTGTATGTATGTTAGCTATGTTTTTTCTGTTATTGATTATTTTGTTATTAATTATTAAACATCAAAAATGTATACTTTGAATTTTTTTTTGTCATTTTCTCACCCTTTCCCAAGCCATTTTTATCCGCCCTTGGTCACAAAACTATCATCTTTGAGCGCCCAAATGTATTTATCATCAGCTTCATCGTACTATTGATTAGCACCCAACGTAGTTTATTTTGGGACATTCTGTATTATGAATAAAAATATTTTTAGAATGCGTCTCATTGTTAATCCCACCGTTTAAAAAAAATCAAGTCGATAGCGTGGATAGAAAAAAAGTTGTGTTGTGGAGCTTGCACGCACCCCTGAGTCATCCTATATTTGTTTGAGCCTTCGAGCACTGATTCCAGATTTTCGCATTTATTTTTAATGTAAAATGGATATTTCCGGTTTGACTAAAAAGTAAGTTTAGTTCTGTTTAGTAGCAAAAATTATTGAAATTATTTTTGAATAAAACTGAAAAACGACTATTTTCAATTTACAAGGAACGAAGAGAATTAAGGTTACTTACCTCATCTATATTCATATATTAATTAATTAATTTAATACTTGATGATTTTAAAGTGATTTTTACTTTTTCATACTTTTTTCAGTCATTTAGTGAAATTCTAAGAAAATGTACAAAATTAATTGTGTTTTTGGGTTCAAGAATCGGGATTAAAAGGTTAGCCAGAAAAAAACTGTTAAGGATTCTGTCCTGTTTTTAAGGTTCCTTTTTGAAAAAATTTACATTTTTTTAAAGATTCTATTTTTAAGATACCTAAAAAAAAATTAAAATTCGACTTTGGCTCATGAAGCTGTGCTGAATTTCAATGCTTCGAAAAAAACGCTCTTTGTTTGTTGCTCACTTTAGGTGCTACAAATTTAAAAAAATCAAAACCCTAATCACCCAATTCAGAATTTGCAATTGTTAGTGGGTTTAGTGACTTTCAAAAAATAATTTCAAGGCCGAATTGACTCAAGAAGAAATTTGCTCTGAGTCAACAAACTCAGAAATTGAAGACAGTATAAATTATTAATACAAAAGAATCTCAAAAAGATGATTTCATTTGACTTTATTATTAGTATTTTTTACTTTTATTCTTCGACACTGTCAAAATATACGGTTTTTCTCGCGTGTAAGGAAGTTTTGACAACTGTTTGGCATTTCTCAATACAAAACGTCAAATTATTTTTAACAGTTTTAAAGCAAGTTTAAGCCTTGTTGACTCTAATTCGAAGAATAAAATGTTGTATTCCACTCGTTTGAGTGTAAATCGGACGCTTTATTCCACCTCGTGGATGGTAAACCACTCGTTACACTCGTGGTTTAAAAATCCACTCGGTCAAATAAAGAGTCCGATTTACACTCAAACTCGTCGAATAAATAACTATTATAATAAACTGTCAAATTTAAAATTTTAGTTTGGCAACCTTGACTTTCAAATTCAAACGTCAATCTTTTATAGGCAATTGTCATTCACGCAGCCGATACAATTTTATAGATTGTTTTATAGTTCTTATATTATTTTAACTCTCTTCTTTTACAGATTAATACATAACAAAATTGTAATAAATTAAAAATTGAAGCATTAAATAATAAAAATAAACAAATTGCGACCCTAAGTCGGAATGCCAGAATATTTATTATTATACCACAGGTACAAAAACTACCCTCTACTTTGCGAAAGCTATCTAGCTTATTCTTAATCTTGTTTATAAACCTAGTCAGAGAAATTTAGCATTTCCACTTTTAATTTAGTATAATTTTTTCAACTTAGAAATTTTACGCTTCACTATTTTTTATTTTTGAAGTTTTTGTTTAACTTTTTTTTTGATGTGGGATTAAATATTTCTATGGAAGCTTGTTGCTAACATTACCACAAGGTTTTAGAAAAAACTATACACATAACATAAACAGTTTGCGATAGTTAGGAAAGTTTTAGTGATATTCAAAAGATAACTTTAGGAAAACTTGCTCTGAGCAAAAATAACTCAGAAATAAAAAATATGATTTTTACACTGTAAACTATACTTATAGATATTTTTTTTTGTAAAAATACTCATAGTCACTTACCAGAATTTAATAAAAAGAAAATAAGTACATACATGTTTTAAAAATAAAAATTCTGTTTGAAAAAAGAAAATGCCATCATATTTTTTTATCAGCAAACATGTCAAAAGTGGTCACTTTGATGACTAAATGTGACTAAAAGTTTTACCGTTCAGCCTGAAGTAAAATTCTATTTTTGCGCCTAAGCATTTACGACATATTGTTTCTTTCACTGCTTCAACAATCTTCACCACATTTTGCACTAGTGACTGCACTAGTCATCCACACTTTCGAAAATCTCAACACAAATTCCAAAACTAGGGTGTGATGCAAGTCTGTTAGGATTTTATAACTTGCAAGCGTCTTGATTACTTTGTTCATTTACTTGCTAATCATAGTGTTGTTCTTTACTCACGATCTAAATACGTTTGCGGAAACAAAATAGTATATGTTATTCGGAGTAAAAGTGAGTTTATGTGGCTCAGCTAAATTTTTTTGCTTCACTACGTTCGCCTCATAAACTATCACTTTTACTCCTAATAACATAGTATCCTATTTTAATGCAACTTCTACTAAGTCAAAAAAACTCTTTCTTTCTGTAAAACTTTAACAAAATTTTTCGCTGTTGGTCTTTATATTTTTTGCTACAACGAGTCATTTTCTCTCGCTATTCTTATTATAATCTCTCAATAGAACACGTTTTCGTCCGCTCCTCGTACACTCTCACCCAAAAACACAAAATAGGCCTCCCCTTGCGTCCACCCAGAGCCGGCTTCGTGTCCCTTCAAAACCGTTAGATCCGCATCTGCCGCTAAATTTTCCGCCTGAAGACGGCCTCCATCAGTAAAAAGCTCCATCTCTCTCGTACCTTTGTAGTAAAAAGCAAATCCTTGTTTTTACCCCCTTGCCATGTACTTAAGTGTCAACCGAATTGCGCTTGTGCGAATCCAAGTATCGATCCTACTTCAGTAGGGTGGTTGAGTTCCCTCGTCGCCCTTACCTACTCAGTTACCACGACGTCACTCTATTTAAGCCATCATCTGCTTAACAAAATCAAATCAACGACAAAAAACCCAAATCGCAGACAGCGCGACTCATTCACACTTTCACACAACTCGTGCTCAGTGCGATGCTCAGTCCAAGTGATAATTAGTGGAGTTTTTTGGCGGGAATCATCACGAAGGATTTAACGGTCAGTACACAACGAAATACTCATTTTGCATTCATTTGGTACACTTTTATCGGGGTAAAATTCGGTTTTTAACTGTCAATTTAATGACACTTGACGAGTCATTAATCCAGTTGATGTTTTTACCCCCGTTTGAGAATTATGGATCCTGGAAAGGCTCGATTGTCCTAAATAGCGTGTGACCTTACGGTCTTTTTGTGATTGGTTGTTAAAATAACCCCCACCACGGACTTTGAAGACAGTTTGAGAGGAACATTTTCAGTTTCTAGTTTAGATTATTTTACCTGTTTATGTTCAAAAGTAAGTCGTTTCTGTATAATCGATTTGAAAGCTTTTTTATTTATTTATCAGTTTCAAACTGGGTTATTTTATGCCAAATCCCAAATAGTTTTGTTTTTGGGGCAGCTTGACTTCCTCGCATGCGTTAATGGGGTTACAACTTAAAAAAAAAAAATTTCTAGAGTGATATTTTTGAACATTTTTGGCAAAATTAATAAACAATATTTCTATTAGATAGATTTTTTAGTAATTCTCCTTACGTTATTTTTTATTTTTTTTTAATTATTTTGATTCTAATTACTATTCGTTGAGTAGTTTTGAAAAATTAAATTACCCCAAAAATTGTGTTTTTTTTATATTAAGGATTGGCGTTCTAATATCAAAAAATTTTTAATTTAAAAAATACAACAAAATTTATATAAAAATCGCAAAAAGTTTCAAAAGTAAAGTTTTCACAATTTTGTTTTCACTTATAATCATTTTCAAATTATTCAAATTTTTAACATTTAAACTTTTTATATTTTTGTTTGTGAGGCAATTTGACTTCATTTGACTACTGTTTCAACAAGTGTTACTTTTTGTTCTAATATTTTTAGCTTATTAGAAATTAAATATTTAATTGTATTTATTAATTTAGTCTTTTAGAAACTGTATAACCAAATCTCTACTTTATTACTAAAAAATGACCAAAATTCAAACAAATCAACATTGCGTTTTAAGTGTTTTGAATGTTTTAATGTGAAATTTATGTCAAAATTAATAAATCAAAATTCTTAGAAACAATACAAACTAAAATTGACTAAAAAATTTTTGAAATGCTATTTTTGTAGTTGAATTATGTTGGTAATAATTAATAAACAACTAAAACAAAATGACACTAAAATATTATTTTTTGGAATAAAGGATTTGTAGTACGATTTATCAAAATATCATTTAAATTTTAATATTTTTTTTCCGCATTTATTTACCTAATTTCGAAAAGAGAAATTAAAAATCCACATTAATAATTTTTGAAAGGTTCTGAAAGGTGCAAACGTTTATTTAGAGTATGTTTTGGTCACGCTTTTATTATTTTGTATTCACTTATAACCATTTATAATTCTATTTGATACTTAAAATTTATTTCAAATTTTCAAACTTTGTTATTTTTATGACGAGGTCTAAATATTTTTGTGTTGAAGACTTCATTCCACTACTGTTTCAATAAGAGTGCAACATTTTATTCTAATATCATTTGCTTATTAAAAATTAAATATTTAATTTCAATTATTTTATTAATTCATTTTTTAAAAATTGCCTAAATAGAGAGTGCGCCAGAATTCGCGCCACAGAGAAAAATTTCAAGTACGATAAGATACCAGAAACATGGAAAAAATGTTTACAAAATTATATCTGTCAAAAAAATTTGACATTTATTTTTTGACATTTGACATTTTTTTATGTCTATTTAATGATGATCTTGTTTATGTTTTTTTATAATTATTTAGTAAAGGTACAAAAATTTTACCAATAAAAACCACAAATAACATTAAACAGAGATACAATTTAGGCTACAGCTTCCTTGTTTCCTCTTCTAATAGACTGTAGCAAAATAACTTGGAAAAGTATTTTTCCAACAGAAATAAATAGAGTCAAAGTGCAAAATCTAAACTCTCATAACTTCAAAATTTTTATAGATACAATTTTTTTAACATTTTTTCCATGTTCCTAGTATCTTATCTTATTTATCTCTGGGGCGCGACTTCTGGCGCACCTTGTATAACCAAATTTTCACTTTATTACTCAAAAAGCCCAAAATTCAAAAAAATCAACATTGTGTTTTGAATATTTTAGTGTGAAATTTTTGTCAAAATTAACAAATTAAAATTCTTACAAACAGTAGAAATTAAAATTGACTATAAAACTTTTGAAATGCTATTTTTGTCGTTAAATTATGTTGGTAATAAACAACTAAAACAAAATTACACTAAAATATTGTTTTTTTTGGAACACATAAAGGATTTTCAATCTGATTTTTTATCTTGTCATATTTCATCAAAATATCATTTAGATTGGAAACTTACCTACGCATTTTAGTATTTTTTTTCATTGATTCATTTAATTTGAAAAAGAAAAATTAAAAATTTTCAAAGGTTCCGAAAGTGCAAACATTTATTTAGTTGAAATTTTTGTGATATTAACGTCAAAACATCTACAGATTTTAAATAATTTAAAAAAAAGAAGAAAAGAAAAAGTCAATTTTTTCGAAAATATGTAATTTTTTCTAGACTAGTTGCCGTTTAACAAACTGTTTTTTACTGAGTTAGATACGTAAATAGGAGTAGTTATTTTTGCTACAAGTTTCTAAAATATAGTTTTTGCGGACGAATCGTTGCTGTTCCCGGACGAGGCGAAGCCGAGTCACAAACACTTTTTCTAAACATGTCATTACAAACAAAATTTTATTGTTTTTAAGCTCACAAAAACACATTCAAACCTCCTATTATGTATGAACATTGATTAATTTCTCGAAAATATTGGTTAAAAATAAAAAATAGTACTCAAAATAACTCTTTTACGTACTATTTTATTGAGTAATTTTAGGGACTTTGAGAGCGTGTACAAAAAATTGTTTTTTTTTTCTGATTTTGACACATAATAACGTTTTTCGTAACTAGTTAAAAAATGCATTTATTTCACATACAGCATAACAATATAATTTTACGCAAGATTGCAAATTCATAAGTTAAAACAGTGCAATCAATAGGATTTTCTGAGGTAAGAGAGAGACAAACTACACAGCGACATAATCTATCTTGCTTCCTCCTATTATAAAGTTATATCTATTACTCTCCAACTCATAACAGAAGCAATGCTGCGTAAAATTATTGTTATTCAGTATATTGTAAAAATAGCTAATAAATAGAAAGAGAAAACAACCGGTAAGACCGAAAAAATTTGGAATGAAGTTTCGAGCAATTTTTTTCCCATTTTGTCAAATACACATCAAACTGCATTCTAAATTTTTTCCGCCGATTTAAAAATTTCCGTTTTTCGCATCATCCGCTAACTGGTCTAGGTATTTTTCTCTTTTTCTTTAGATGGAGACGCAAAGTTTTCGTTCGCTTCAAAAGAAGCGTACAACGAATTTCCGCGAGGACGAAACGAAATTGTTAATACAGTTGTGGGGAAGTCCCCAAATACAAAACAAACTCTACTTGACCCACCGAAAAGAACCAGTAATGCGTCTTTTGGCAGCCAACATGCAACAACGTGGTTTTTACAGAACTCCCGATGAGATCAAAACAAGGATAAGAAATCTCAAGTGCCTCTATCACAGGATCAAGAGGACGGTCCAATCAGGATCGGGAATTGGGACCGTCGATCCAGATTGGCCCCACTACAAGGCCATGGACAGGATTCTGAGCAAACAGAACCAGAAGAAGGAGAGTTTGTACAAGGATAACGTTTTCGAAGGGCCCAGATGCGAGGACATCAAGCAGGAGATTGACGATATCGACATTAACGATGATATGGAATCGTACACCACCAACAGCATGGGAGGGTGAGTTAAAATGAGTTCAAAATGAAAAAATTCATAATTGTGTCTCTAGATCAGAATATGAGGAAGAACAAGTACAATTGCCCCCACTCACCCCCGCTCCAAACAAAGACGGGGGGAAAAAACCCGACAAATCACCACCAAACAGAAACCTCCCGAAAATCCTCCCCAACCTCACCATCCCCTTACAAAACCAGCAAAACAACCCCCAAAACAAACAATCAATCCCATCCATCCCATTCCCGCTCTTGATCCTCAACGGAGTCCAACCGAACACAAACCCGGAGAAGAAGGATTGCAAAAGCCCCGGTGGACTTAAAAACGACTCTGGTAACCCCCCAACTCGCATTAACTCAAGTAATAAGTCTTGTTTTAGACGTCAATCAAGTCCTCAAGGAGCTCCTCGAGGTTCAGAAGGAGAATCTGGACATTGAGCGTCAACGTCTCGAATTGGAGAAACAAAGACTCGAATTTGAGCGTTTTGTTGGGTCCCAATTACTGGCCATGGGGCCATTTCTCGGGAATTTGTTCCACCGATTTGCATTCCCCAACGAGGAGGTGCAAGAAACCGAAAAGAATAATGGACGGAAAAGACAAAATAGTTGTGATATTGACCTTTTGAAGGATAGCAAAATTTTGAAAACGCTCCTGAGTGAGGGGCTGAAGAAGTACATCATGAGTGAGGATGAGAATGATGACAGTGGGATTCACAATGATGACAACAGCAACACTAGCGCAAATTGATGCTATTCCAGTTGAAGAATTTTTAGTTTTGTGCCATTCCAGTAACATTCCGTTAGTTATTTATTTAATTTATTTGTATAGAATTACAATTAAATCAAGCTATTGAGTATTCATAAAACATGTTGTTTGTGTTGCGTCGTTGCAAGTCCCGGATTTCCATTATGTCGGTTTTTAACCGGAGTTTCAAAATTTCGCGCCAGATTGCCTCTCGGTGGTCGACATCCGTTATTCCCAATCTTAATAAGGAATTATCATTGATTCGCAGTAATGTTCGACCTGTTACATCATTCTGGATGAATTTGTCGACATAAAGGGCATAGTAGTCGGTGCAGTGCCTCCGAAGCCACTTTTGCACATCCAACACAGTCCACGAATACACCGACTTTGGTTTATTGTAATTTGCTGCCTTGAGCTGCAACTAATCGATTAAAACCCAACAATTATGCTCTTATTTCTTACTTTGGGTTTGTTTATATTATTTAAAGTTTCTTCCACCATCTTGCTTGTCAAATGTGACAATTGACAACTAATGCTACCAATTGTAGTACCAACTCGTGCAATAAAAACCCCAAATTTGATTATAATTTATTTAATTAAAAAAGCTCCAGCTTAGTATAATTTGATTAATATCCAACTATCAATAGAAAAAAATAAACATCTAAAACACAACTCATAAAATGAATAGAGCGAATAATACGTGGTTAGACCTTATCTTAAATAAACTTGTAATTGTAAAGCACACTGTAACAAAACTTTAAGCCCCGGCATAAAACTGGCAATTTGAGCGAAATCGGGCCCTGATACTAATTGGGTGTGTAAATTCAATCCTCCTGTATAATCCCCATTTTGCACCACTTGTACCATTTGATGCAACGCGGATAAAGTATTTGGTGACAGTTTCTGTTCCCTTAATAAATCATACAACGACTCTAATTTCCTCCCAACATCTTCCAATTTTCGCTTAGTTTGCTGTAAAAAACTGATAAGTAACAAATCAAATCGTATTTGAATCAAAATACCGGGTTATTAGCCGCACAACTACACTGATACTTCAACTCATCAAAGACAGTTTGCATGTGTATGTGTTCTTCAGGAATCGGTGGTTTTTGGATAGGTTGGGGCTTCTCTGGGGCCATAGCGGGGGATTGGTTTTGGACCTGATTAAAACTAACGGCATTTGACTTAAAACCCGTCGGATTAAAAGTAGTAGGAGGCGCGAAATTGTTACTTGGAGGGAAATTATTAGTTGGTTGGGGTTGGAACATTTGGGGTTCGTTTCCATAACCATTGTTCGTGGGGGCTGCCCCATATAGCGGATGAGTTATAGGTTGAGACGGTAGGGACGCCTCTGGTTTAGGCTGAAAAAACACCACTCATAATTATTTTGTCAAAAAAAAAAAAAACAAATAAAAAAACGCAATCAAAACACACTCAACCAACACAATACCTTTTGTTTCCACAATTTTGTCCCAGCATGCACTGCTGACATTTTAACACTATCACCATAAGACTTCCAAGAGAAAAAAAACTATAGACTTGAATAAATAATTCAAAAGTTATTACCTGTGGTCTTATTGGTTTGTTTAGTGGCGGTGGATCGTTCCAGCCGGGGGCACTAGTAGGAAAGTATTTCTCGGTTGCAGGTTGCCCCATTTCGCTCGTCATAGAAGGCGGGGGTTGCATGTTTGGTACCAAAGGAGTTGGATTAAGCGCTGGATTGGGCACCATTGGTACAGGATTGGGTACGTAATTATTATTGGAAGAAACCAAAGGTGTCATCGGTGATGGGGCTGGATAATTATTGTTCTGGAAGTTGGAGACGGGCTGGGGGGCGTACATGTTCCTCGTGGGTGCTCCGTAGGGGTTTGACGTCACGGAAGGGTCCAAAACGTATTTGCGGGACGGCAAACCGGATCCGGAACCACCTAGAACACGTTTGAATTTTTAAATTTTTATATATATATATTTTTTTAATTGACAATGATGAATTTTGAATTTTAAATTTTTTCTCCAGGCGGATAAAACGTCATTTTTGAAAGATTTTGACGATTTTAAAAGCAGGAAAAAATTGTTATGGCAATTCTTACTTTTTATACTAGACTTAAAAAAATTAATCCTAGCTTTAGAAACTGACATTTTTAATCCTAATAAAACAATTTCCATTT